ATTACTAAGACCTTTAAAGACCTATAATTACTTAAATAGCCCTATAGAACGACTTAATACTATTTATAGTTTTTAATCCCTAACTTACTGCTAATATAAACCCACTATTAGTTAGCTGGCCGTAACATTATAATTATTATTATTATTAAGAATAGAGATAGGATTAATAACTTTATAAGGAGCTTAAATAAAGTTAATTATATTAAACTCTTTATTAATAGTAGCTTAAATATATTATTATTAATACTCTATATCTATATTATATATATTATAATAAGTTATTACCTCTAGCCCTTATTAAGTTATAGTTATATTATTTAATATTAATAATATAATTAATAATAGAGGAATAAATATAAAGCTTAAAGCCTTTAAGTAGTTAAGTAAGAGTAGTTAGAGAGCTTTAGCCTACTTAATAGCCTCTTTATACTTAAATAATAAGAGCTCTTAATATAATAATATATTAAGTATTTATTTTTATTTTTTTAAGTAGCCTTTATTTTATAATATTTCTTTTAAGTTAAATAGAGGTAATTAAATATTATTATAAAGTAGTAAATAGTATTAAAATTAATAGAGATAAATCTTTTTAGCTAATAGTTATTTATATTAATTAAAGTAGTTAAATAGTATATAATAATATAGTAGCCTATAGGCTTTATTAAACCTATATAGCTTATAGATATCTTTTAGCCTTTATATAAGCTATTTTTTTATTTATAGCTTAACTTAATTAGCTTATTAATTAGAAGAAATAGTACTTTTAGGTATATATAGTACTAAATAGCTTGAAATAAAAAGTAATAAGAGTTAAAAAGTAATTTAGCTTAATGTTAAAGTTATTTTATTATATTTATATCCTATTAATTAGCTTAAAATAATATTAATTTATTAAATATACTCTTAAGGTCCCTTATATAATAATAAATATATATTTTTAAGCTAATATAAAATAACTTAATAATAGAGGTAGTTATATACTTAAAGTAGGTATATTTATTAATATAATATTTAATAAGTTTTTTATATTATAAGCTTAGCTATATATTAATTATATAGTTAATAATAGTAATAAAAAAGCTAGATTTCTTAAATATCTTAAGTTATTAATAGTATATATTAATAATATAGCTTTAGAGGATATTATTTTATATATTAAGAAATTCCTAGAACTTTAAGTACTTTATAATATTATTATTATTATTCTTTATAGCTATTAAGAAGTATTTATAAGTTTTAATTAATATATTAAAGTTAATATACTATTAATAGAATAGATATAAAATAAAGTAAAATTTTAAGTTAATATTAAATATATATAAAAGGGCTAACTTATAATCTATATATATAACTTTTAATAATAGAATATTATTCTCTATTAATATCTCTATTAATATATTAACTATTTAAATATAATTAGCTTCTTTTTTACTTAATAAGAAATAGGAGGCTACTTAAAAAGTATACTTATTACTAGTAATACTATAGATATTAAATAATAATATATTAAAATAATTAGTTTTATATATTAAATTTATTAAAAGAATATTAAGATATTTTTAGAGAAGATTAATATTAATATATAGTATAATAAAGATAGTAATAATATAACTAATAATATCCTAGAGGTAATAGTATTAATATTTATTATTATCTTTAAGCTAACTAAAGAGCTACTTAATAAGTATTTTATTATTAAGTTTTATTTATTAATAAGTAGCTAAAAGGTTTAATATATTATATATAATAATATTTTTTACTCTATAGGTATATAAAGTTATTAATATCTAAACTAAATAAATACCTTTATTTTATAACTTTATTATTTTATTACTATATTAAATAAAAGTCTTTTAGTAATTTTTAATATATATTAATAAGTTATAAAATAAATAGTTATAATAATTATAGTTAATAATAATAATAAACTTAATAACTTAAGTCTTATTTATCTTCTTTATAATAATCTATTAATAATAAGTAATATTATAAGAGAATAACTTTTACTTTTTTAATATATAGGTATTAAGAGTAAAAGCTCTTACTTTATTATTATTTTATTATAATATATAAGTATACTAATAAACTTATTAGTTACCCTTTATATATAGAGTAGAAATTATAAAGCTAGCTTTATATATAGTATTATTAAGTATATTATAAATAGCTACTTTTAATAAAAAACTCTACTTAATAAGAGGGTAAAAATAGTAATACTATTTAAGTACTAATAGATATAATATAGTAATATAATAATATATAAATTTATTATTAAATAATAAGAGGGTTTTAAACTTAATCTCCTATTATAATATTATAATAATATATATAAATAACTCTAAAAAAAGTATTTTAATAATAATAGTTAGTTATATTAGTAATATTATAATAGGATAAAAAAGATCTTACCTAAGTAGGTATATAGGTAGGAGTCTAATTATAGAGGTCTATAGTAGGTATATAGCTAGAGGGGTAATAAATATCTAGAATAGGGTGATAAATATCCTACCCCTAACTGATCCAATCAAGGGGATCTCCCGCAGCGGGAGGTACGTGGAAGAAGCTTGGCCTTTAATCACGCCCGCAGAATCCGCTCAAAATAGAACGGAAGAAGTGAATTTTCTCCTAGTCTGATTGAACACTCTTTGCCAAGTCGTGGAGGCAAACGAAGTAGACAACGAGATGCCTGAGAGAAGATTGAATTCCAATATCTGGCAAGGCGAAAGGTACGAAATCTGGAAGTCAGCTCCGCTTTTCGTCCGTCCGTGTCCGTCTTTAATGTTTTGAGGGCGACGCGAGGTTCCATTGTGGTAGACCCCTCCGCTCACTTGAGGCACCTTGAATGGGTGTCCCGGTCATGGCGAGCACCGCCTCAGAGTCTATGTGTCTGGAAGGCTTCACATCGATCGGAACTCCCGGGACTCTGGGCAGAGTGGCTTGGGGCCGGTGGAGTCGTATTTTCCCCCCAAATCTCCACGCGGAGGTGCTTCAGCATGCCGAGACCGAACCGGGAGCCACCCGGGAGACTGTCAGTTGCTGAGAGGGTTGCCATCACTCACTTCGTTCTTTTTCCAAGTCGCCTCTACTGACATGAAAACGGTGTGAATAACAGCCAAGTCGGCAAGACTATGCCGAGACTGGTGGGAGTGTCGTTGAGAAGATTTGATCACATTTGGCGAACAGTCTCATGATCAATCGGTCCAGCCCGAGTCGAACTGGAGATGAGGCCAGGCGAGTTCGGACGACATGGTGGGGCAGCCGTTGATGAGGCTCAAACCTAGTTTGATTGCCCCGGCTGTAGGATCCCGTGATATTGTTGACAACTGACACTTGAACTCGGCGAATGCGACTCCTTCGGGACGATTACTCTTCACAATTCGGAATCCGAGCATCGCCAACTTCTTGGTTGAAGTTTAGGTATCCAAGTTTGTGAGGCTTTTCGACAACATCGCCCTCCTAGACAACGCCAATGCTCGGCGATAGACGCGTTCGGCAACGCCATATTGACGAGGCCAAGGGCTGCCGCGTAACGAGACAACAAGTCTGTCTCTCAGAAGGGGGTTTAGGGGGGATTTAGAGTGCGAATTGATTGAGGTTCTAGAAACGTCGTCCCAGTTCCCCAACAACAAGGCAAGGATCTCCCCAGATTGACAGCCAACGCGAGTCAATAAAGGGGCCACGATCTCCAGAGTATAGAGTTTGAGTGCTTGGCTTGCTGGGAACATGATTATGCCCGAGCCTACCGAGATCCCAGCTCCGTGGCTCGGGAAAGCGTCTCGGTTTGCTACGAGAGATGTCAGCAACGTCGTACGCCGCAGTTTTCCTAGTTCGTCGCGGAGGATATCACGCTGCCCGCGAAGAAATCCTAGACTTCTCAAAATGGCTTCACTCGACTGAAGCTCCGGGACACAGCCCCTGGCCGGCGCCCCCTATGACCCACAAACAGCAATTCACGGAGGCTTCCCAAGCGGTTGACCACGGATCTAGGATGCTAGTGCCCAAGTTGTTGGTTTCCTCTTCGCTCAGGGGCACTCGAGCTTGTGTATAAGTAGGAGAATGATCGTCGGTGCCATCTGAGCTTTTGGAATCATCATCAGCATCCAGCTCTTCGATCCAGTCTTTCGCTAAACATCACAATCGTTTCAACCAACCCAATTCACTCGCTCATTCACCCCTTCTTTTTTGAAGTACATCCAAATCAGTCAAAATGCAGACCTCTTACATCTTCACCACCCTCCTCGCCGCCGCCGGCCTTGTCGCCGCCCTTCCCGTACGTATCTGACTCAGTCTCTCTCCATGCCAAAGCCGCTCATCAAAGCTTCTTTGATGAACGCTCTCGCTCTGGAGAGAGAACCAACTGTCATCCCATCTTACTAACACCCCGAACAGCAGGCCACCCCCACCGCCTCGGCCACCGCCTCCGCGACTCCCACCTGCTCTCAGGGCCCCGTCGTCGACTACACCGTCGTCTCCGGCGACACCCTCACCATCATCTCCCAGAAGCTGAGCTCCGGCATCTGCGACATCTCCAAGCTCAACAGCCTGGCCAACCCCAACCTGATCAACATCGGCCAGGTCCTCAAGGTCCCTACCCACATCTGCAACCCCGACAACACCTCCTGCCTGGCCAAGGACGGCACCGGCACCTGCGTCGAGGGCGGCTCCCCCACCTACACCATCAAGTCCGGCGACACCTTCTTCATCGTCGCCCAGAGCTTCGGCCTCGACGTCAACGCCCTCCTCGCCGCCAACGAGGGCGTCGACCCTCTCCTCCTCGAGGTCGGCCAGGTCATCAACGTCCCCGTCTGCTAAGCGGTTTCGCGCCGATGACAGATCTCCGGCGCCGTGGCTTCACGGTCTCGGCGCTGGCATAGTGTGGAATGGTGTCCTTGGGATTTCTTAGTGTTTGGGTTTGGTTTTATAGAGTGGTATAGATGGTAGCTCACTGCTTGAATTGAGTTGGATGGAATCAAATGAGCTTGCTTCTGTGTGTGACTGCTCTGCAGGGCCTGTGACTAAACAATATGGTTGTTGTATCTCCCTTATGGTTTGATGTTAACTTACTGTTTGTTTTAAGTTTCCGCCGTAGACTCATACGGTGGACAGAAAGGCCATTGGTATCAACTTACTCATGACTTAGGGGTTTTTCCACCAGTTCGTATTGTCCACAATCAACAGCCAAGAGACCCTGTCGCAACCCAACAAAGTGTGGCTTTATAAGTAAAGCTTGTCAAGAAATCGCACGCCGAGCCTACTGCGTTCATAAACAGAAACATTATTCAATTTCGACTCTATGTCTGGTATCACCTCCGTTTATCGGTCCTCCTCGTCCTCGGCGACCCAGTACGCCTCGACCTCCGCAATACACGTCCTAGCCGGTATCGTAACCGCAATCGGGAAACCGCCATAGTCGGGATCGTCGTTTGGCATGATCAGAAACTCTCCACTCCTCGTCTCGTCGCCGTTGAACACTCTCAACGTCCTCAGCTGCCCGTTCTCGTCAACCTCCTTCTCTGCCGCTGCAAGAATGCCCGTGAAAGTCGCCTCCTTCCTCGCGCTCTTGAACTTCACGTTGAACCCCCGGCCAATAGCAAGGAACTTTGCGTTTCCGAGGTGAATCACCATTCCGCCACCGGGACCGGCCTTACCAAACACGAAGGCCCTCTCGACGATGACCTCGATGTCCCCAAACACCTTGCTCCACTTCTCGCCCTTGCCGACGGGGTCCGGCTCCTCGTCGAAGAAGAACCCCATGCGGTCCTCCGGCGCGGCGGCCAGCAGGAACGGCGCCACCTGCGAGAGGAGCTTGTACTCCCGCCCGACCACATCGGCGCCGGTGTCGATGCCGAACGGAGACGCCCCGAGCGCCCCGTACGTCCCGTACGACAGCCACACCCTCCGCGCGCCGTTCTCGTCGCGGCGCTGCTCCGGAATGAACAGCGGGTTCCCCTGCGCCGTGTAGTCCCTGCAGACGGTCTCGTAGTTGTGGAAGTACAGATCCGGCGCCAGGAAGTCGAGCGCCTTCTCGGGGGTGAAGATGGTGTTGTACCGCCAGATGTCGAGGACGTGCGGGCAGGGCCCGCCGGAGGGGTAGACGCCCGGGTCGGCGCCGCCCCCGACGACGATGGGCACGCCGCGGAGGTCGAGCTGGGACGGGTCGTCGAAGTTGAGCCAGGTGTTGGTGTAGAGGGGGATGTCGTACTCCTTCTTGCCGGCGGCGGCGACGCGGCCGACGTACGAGGAGATGTGGTACGCCATGAAGGCCTCGTCGGCGGCGTGGCCGGCGCCGAAGATGTCGTTCCAGGAGTGGCTCCCGCTGGCGGGGGGCACGGCGAAGCGGGCCGTGAACTTGGGGTGCAGCTCGTCTTTCTTCTCGTTAAGGTGCTTCAGAAGCGATTCTGGGACGGGCGAGGCGAAGGCTTTGTCGGCGCGGCGGGAGCGGTCGCGGGAGTCGCCCAGCAGACCCGTCTCGTTCTCGACCTGGACCATCAGCACGGTGTTGTGCTCGCTGTCAACCTCGGCGAGGTGCTTCATGAGCGCGGCGAAAGCTCTTGAATCGGCCTTGCAGCACTCGTCGGACAGCGGGGAGACCATCTCGACGGTTCTCTTGACGCCGCCGGCCTCGAGGACCTGGCAGCGGGGGAAGCGTTTCGTGTCGCGCTTGACCCAGTGTGGCGCGTAGGTCGAGATGCCGTTCTTGTAGGTGCCGAACCAGAGGAGGACGAGGTGCATGTCATGCTTGCGGGCGCCGGCGAGGACGGCGTCGAGCTCGGAGAAGGTGAAGTTGCCCTCTGTGGGCTCGATGTCTTCCCATGTGACGGCGCCGAGGAGGGTGTTGATGTGGGCGGACTTCATGGGCCCCCAGACCTCGGACATGAAGCGGGCGGAGGAGAGGGAGGAGTTGTGCAGTTCGCCGGAGAGCATGAGGAAGGGCTTGCCCTTGAGGATGAGCTGGGTGTTGCCATTAGAGCGGCGGAGGTGAGGGGGTTTCGTGGTGTCCAGAGCTGTCATCTTGGGCGATTTGCTGCTCTAGATTGTGACGGATGAAAAGAGAGGTAGAGAGGGATGAAGAGTAGAGAACAAGCAGATCAATACACGATAGTTCGGGCGTCGAGAGAGGTTGAAATATTGTTCGATTGTCTTCGAGCGAACATTATCCCGAGGATGTAGGTAGCTGTAGCTCCTGTCGGAGCCGCTCCAAGAGGGTCCATTTCGGATGAGCTACGGCTCCGCTGACGGCATTGTCAATCGGCCTGCCGCTCCAACGAGAACCGTCATTCGCCTATCAGTAGTTGGCTCCAATCCAATGCCAAAGATGATGGGAAACAGAAAACCCACTTTCTGCCGCGGGATGCGTTTGCAGATCGCCTGATGGGCTGACGGGAATAATCCTGCAGGGGTGTGAGAGGGGGAACGAGTCTTCGGACTTTCTTCGCACCAGTTTACTATTTCTGTTATGGAAACAAAACGATGGGTTATCAACTGGGAACTCCTGTCAAACATCGGAATTGTCACTCTCCCGTTTCCAGCTCGAAATGACGCGGTTTGGAGTTGACTTGACTCTGGCGGAGTTGCGAGACTTGACGAGCTGAAGTTCGGAAATACTTCGCATTAATCGTTCACGCTTTAGACTCTCCTCATAACCCACTCACATCTCCATTCCCAAAAAAGTCTCCGCTGGTGGATGCGTGGAGTTTCCCCCCGTCAAAGCGGCTCATCCGCCTCGGTCCTAAGTTGGGCTGGAGCATATTCCCGGCAATCTTGCGGATATTCCACTGCGTCTGTCATGGTCAAGTGATGAACTTTTGTTATTTTACGATTTCTTGGACAGTCAGATGGCATGTTATCATCTATTGCTCTGCGGGCTCTCTACACCAGGGAGTCCCGGCCAACAATCAATGTCATCCAACTTCCGCAGCAACCTCTCCAACTTGAGCCTGGCGCTCTCGCTCACCAGCGTCTCGGGCCCACCGCTGCTGCTGTCTCCGATGTTCATCTGTTCCATGTACGCCGCCCCGCAGTCTCTCAACTTGGGGATCAGGCTGTTTCCGTTCTGCTCGAGGACGTGCTGCGGCATGTGGTACAGGATCTCCAGCAGGTCGTCCACGATGCGCTGGTGCTCGTAGGCGCGCGTCTTGTCCGTGGATCCGAACTTCTGCAGCAGGTTCGAGCGGATGTTGAGGCTCGTGATGAAGAGGTTGGCGATCTGCGTGTCGTGGCCCTCCGTGATGTGACCCGGACGCGAGAGGCCGCCGCGCCAGCGCAGTTCCGGCGGGAAGCTGTCGATGATGTTCTGGATGCGGTTCATGTAGTGCTTGAGCGCCTCTTCCTGCCCGCCGTAGATACTCACCGGCGCCGTCTGGGCCTCGTGCCAGATCAGGAAGAGGTCGCTGAGGTGATTCAGCCCGGGGACGTAGGATGTCGAGTCGCCGTGCCACGGCGGCAGCTCGCCGGGCGAGAGCTGCGGGCCGGTGTCGAGTTGAGAGTCGGTCAGGGGGACGGGTCTGAGGTGAAGGCGGTTTTCTTGGTGGGAGACTATGGAGACGGATAATCTCCCGAATATGTCTGCGCTGCTATAGAGTGGATTAGAAAGGGGAAAACGTCAACCGAACATCAGGTAGGCGGTGTCGTCATCTCATGTTCATGTCAAAGAAGACCCATGCGCCGATGTCTTCATCGTATGTGTGAGTGGGGGTTGAATGCTACGTACCAATATGCCGCAAAGATCAGCCAGAAGAGCCGCTTGAGCAGCTGCTGCTCGGACATATCCAGGTCGGCGAGGCGGTAGTACGCGAGGAACCTTGTCCCCGCAGCGGCCTCGGACATACCATGGAACGAACCCATGTCGCCGAGGCCGTTCTCGTTCATGGAGCTCGCCGATGTGCCGATGTTGTACATGGCGATGCACCAGTCGAGCGAGTAGGCCGGTTTCCGGATGCCGTGGTCGAGCAGGTGGTGGTCCTCGATGAAGTCGAGACAGCCCTCGACCGTGACGGGGCTGTAGTCGGCGCGCCGGAGGGTCGCCACGGTCGCGGCGCACACGCTCACGACGAGGGCGCAGAAGGTGCGGTCGGTCCCGGCCTCGCCCGTCTTGAGGCGGTGCATGAAGCGCCGGCGGTGCAGGACGGGGGCGAGGGAGTGGACCTTCTCGAACCAGTCGTGCAGGATCCGGTGGACGAGGGCCTCCGGCGCGAAGAGGGCGAGCCAGTTGCCGTAGGGCCCCGTGTTGGGACTCGGCGCGCCGACGAGGGCGCGTAGGTCCGGGGCTGAGGATGCTGCTGCTGACGCGTTTGCTGCTGCTACGGCGGCGGCTGATATGTGTGAGTGGGAGCGTGGTGTGTGGTGCGTGTGGGCTGATGAGGAGGCGGGTGAGGTCTGGTAGGCGAGGCCGAGGTCCGGCGAGGTGATGTCCGATGCCGACGGGCTCTGTTGGCTGGCTGCGCCGGATGTACTCCCATGCTGTTGAGGGAGTTGCTGTTGGGGTTGATGATGATGTTGTTGCTGTTGCTGCGCATGTCTGTTAAACCTGGTTAGTGTGAGTTCAGGGTGTGTGAGCAATATTCAACATTGCAGGGCCGGGCTAAGACGGAACTTGTTCGGCGGCCCTCTCCTCCGCCGCGGCCGGTCATGTTTGCACTCGATGTCGAGGAACGAGCAGCCTTGGCACCGGGTTTCACCCGCTCCGTATAGACACTGCCGATCGGTCAGTTGAGCTTGCCGGAGTTGAAGCCGCCTCTAAAACCACATGACATAGCAACACAACGTTGAAAACCTTCTGAACGATATGTAGCGAGAATTACAGCGTCTCGAACGAGTTGTCTCACCCTAACTTTGCGTGAACGACACGCATCGCAGGCGTTCTGGTTCCTGATGATCTTGGACCTGGGTCTGCCGCTGGCAGGCGAGGCCGGAGAAGTCGAGAGTGGAGAGTGTGGTCCGTTTCCGTGTTCCGGTGGCGGTGGTTGTGTTACTGCTCGGTCGATCTCCATGGTAAGACAAGACAGGACAAGGTCGGGCTCAACCGCTCAGATGAGACCTGTTTAGACCGAACGTCGCCAGCCACGCCGCCAAAAGACCGGATCAGACAGTGACAGCACTTCAACCTGCAGCTAACCGCAAGTCTACCACACACGCACACACACACAAGCACAACTCTCTCACTCACTCTCACCCGGCACTCTGGGCAGAGCGGCTACGCCCTCCAATCGGCGGCAACTGTGGAGATGGAGCTCTCGTGGACAGCTCTCTCTGTCTTCAGACGGCCTTGCAGCCGAGAGCTGTGGTAGGCCAGGACGCGAGAAGTCTGAGGAATGGATCCAGTCCGCTCAAAACGTGGCCCGCATGGGTCATTGATTGATTGCGTCCCGGTCGGTCGGATTGACTGTTCCTGTCTGTGGTGGTTCCGGCAAGTAAGGTATGGGGTAAAAGAGAAGGGGATTGGCGAGGAGAGAAACAGGAAACGGCGTGGCTCTTCGAAACATCCGAGGAGATTTGTCGGGCAAATGCTCAATTTTCAATTCGATCCTTCTCGCCGGCCGGCCGGTGCGCTTCGCATATACGTCGGAGTAATTCCCCAGAGAAAGCTGAGGATGCCGTTGGAGCTGTCTTTCTCTCGGTAAATCGACAGGGAAAAGCCCCGCATTGGAGCGTCACAAATCGAGTCATGGTCTAGACCGTAACGGCATAGCTCCAGAAGTTTGACGTCGAGACTGTACACCGAACTCTATCTCGACGGCCGCGTCTTGTCTCGTTGTCGACGTGTAAACGAGTAGATATCGTAATAGTGTAGCTGAGGTATATAAGTAAAGCGTATTTATACGCTATATAACTAATATTCTAACCTAATTTAGCAATAAGATTAATATTATTCCTAATATTATATATAAAAATAGAATTACTCTATTTAACTTATAAAGTAAATCTAAAGTAATATAAACTTTAAATATAGAGTTTACTTAAAAGGTAGTTATAAATAGCTTTAACTATTAAGGTTTTTATACTTTATTTAATAGAGTTATTAAGTAATAAAAGTAAATTAAACCGTTTCTCTTTTATCTCTCTTTCTCTTTAATTTTTACTTTAAGATAATACTTATTATTATTATAATAGAAGTAGTTTATACCCTCTATAAGAACTTTAAGAATAACTATAACCCCCTAGTAATAGCTAAATAATATATATATTAATTTAAGCTCTTCTTTAAGAATAAAATTATTAAGATCTAAAAGTCCTATTATTTTAAAAGTAAATTAATATAACTTTTCCTCTATAATATATAGCTTCAAAAGATTATTATTACTATTTATTATACTACTAACTAGCTAATTTATAATATTCTATTAGCTATATATTACTATCTTTAAGCTAGTAATAAGTAATATAATTACTATTTTACTAATTATACCTATATATAAACTTATATTAAGTACAGGAACGCTATTCTTAATATCTTATTATTTATTAACTCTTTAAGAAAAGATTAATAAAAAGGGGGGAAAAATAAAGATTATAATAGAATATAGAGGGGATATAGTTATATTATAATAATAAAGGAGTAAATAAATAAGTAGAAGTTTAATACTAATTTATAGTTAATATAAGAGTTAAATAACTATTAGGCTTTTTTATAGGAGCTACCCCTATAATAGTGCAGTAGGTTTTCTGCGGCGTTGCTCCCCCAGACAATCCATATTCAATGGAAACCCGCAGGGCCGGGTTGTCGGCCGGGCTTCTCCCTGACTAGCCAATGGACCACGCCATTGCGATTCTCCAACGACCCAAAAAGCATCCGTAACCACGCGCGCGAGAGCTTTCCCCGGAAAGGCCAGTGTGGAGTTTAATATTGGGGCTGTTGTGTGTCCTTCCCGTCCCTTCTGGTTCACTGTCGACGATGTGTTCCACCCCCACGGGGACTTCGTCTGTACTCGCTCCAATGACGATCTAGTCTCGTGATTCCTGCTTAACCACCCTTGGAGAAGCCCGCTGGTGACGCCGTCGTCCGACGACTTGTTATTGGACGTGCTCGCAAAATATCGATCTCTTGGGGGCCGTCATCGGGTAACGACCCTCGGCTCTTTGTCGGGTGGCCTGTTCTGTACGAGAGGAGGAAGTGGAATCTTCAGCCCGGTAAAGGGGAGCAATATCAAGTTGCCATGCTAAGAGCCCGGAACTCGGAGTTGTATAAGTATACTCGTGGATCTCAACTCCTTCGAACATGGGATGGAGGCTTGTCGACGTTTCCTATCACCAAGTCGAACTTCAACCTCACTCTCCTCAGTCTGTTGACACTTGGCAACTCTCCTTAAGCCATGGAGCTGAAGCAGTCAGAGAGTCATGGCGCTGACCATGTCGACAACGCATACGATCCGCACCTCGAAGCCCCTGAAGGATCACCTTTACCATGGTACAAACAGTCAGAACTCAGGAAGCTGTACTTCATGATGGTCTTCCTCTTCCTAGGCTCAACAACACTAGGATATGACGGCAGCTTACTCAATGGACTTCAGACCATGCAATCATGGCAGGCTTGTGAGTACATCTTTTCTTAACAAATACCAAACAGCTTCACTTTGGCCTTATTCTTAACAACACGCCATGTAGACTTTGATCATCCATCCGGAAGTCGACTCGGCATCTTTGGCGCCATGCCCGGCTTCGGCGGTCTCTTCGTCCTCCTCTTCGCCCCCTACATCGCCGACGGCCTCGGCCGAAAGACGGGCACCGCCATCGGCTGCGTCTTCGTCGTCCTCGGCGCCCTCCTCCAGGCCTTCCCCAAACAAGGCGCCGGCCGGGACGCCATGTACCTCGTCGGCCGCTTCATCATGGGCGCCGGCTCCAACATCTCCAACGGCACCTGCCCGCTCCTCATCACCGAGGTCGCCCACCCGCGCCACCGCGGCAAGGTCACCACCCTCTACAACACCCTCTGGTACCTCGGCAGCATCATCGCCGCCTGGACCTGCTTCGGCACCCTCACGCAGCAGCACGGCGACATCCAGTGGCGCCTGCCCACGGGCCTGCAGTGCATGATGCCCGGCATCCAGCTGCTCGCCGTCTGGTTCCTGCCGGAGAGCCCCAGGTGGCTGATCAGCAAGGGCAAGGAGGAGCAGGCGAGGAAGGTCCTGGTCAAGTACCACGGCAACAACGACGAGAACGACGAGTTCGCGCGGTGGGAGTTTGCGGAGATCTCGAGCACGCTGAAGCTGGAGAAGGAGGCTGCCGCGAACAGCGGATGGATGGAGCTCGTGAGGACCCCTGGTAACCGTAAGCGCTGTGCTTTGATCATCGCGACGGCCATCTTCTCCCAGTGTTCTGGAAACGGGCTGGTTTCATACTACGTGAGTGTTTCTTCCGCCGGATGCTCTGTTCGATCCTTGCTGACGTGACTTTCACAGCTTGCCGTTATCCTGAGTACCATTGGCATCAAAGAGTAAGTTCAACCCCGCCCTCCCAACCTAAGCCGGCCCACGCTAACCTCACAAAGCTCGATCACGCAGTCCTACATCAACGGCGGCCTGACCATCTGGTCATGGCTCGTCTCCCTCACCGCCGCCTTCTTCGTCGACCGCATCGGGCGCAGAGTCCTCTTCCTCTTCGCAGGCGTCGGAATGCTCCTCTCCTTCTCCGTGTGGACGGCCTGCAGCGCAGTATACGCCCAGACCGAGTCGGCCTCGGCCGGAATCGCCGTCGTAGCCATGATCTTCGTCTTCTACGGAGTCGCGGGCGCGGCCTGGCCCGGCCTGACCGTCTCCTACACCGTCGAGATCCTGCCCTACAACATCCGCGCCAAGGGGCTTACTCTCTGCTTCTGCTTCACGGCTCTGAGCGGTGTCTTTAACCAGTGGGTTAACCCGCTCGGCATCGAGCAGCTGGAATGGCGCTTCTACTTTGTTTACATCGCTATGTGAGTGCTCGCCCCGTATATGTTGATGCGACGGAAAACTAATCATGGTGTTCAGCTTGGTGATTGAGGTCCTGGTGATCTACTTCTTCTTCGTCGAGACGAGAGGTCCTACTCTGGAAGAAATTGCTGTGCTCTTCGACGGAAAGAACTCTGCCGCTGGAGTTGCCCAGGTCGAAGCTCAGGCGCAGGCTGAAAAGGCTGAGAAAAGAGAATCGGCATAGCAAGGACGAGCAAGTGACTGGGTGGGGGAGTTTGGGGATTATGACTTGTCGACAACGGGGTCCAAGTGGTGACAACTACACCACCTAGAGGGCAATTTAGAATCCATAATTCAAGAGCAGTTATTGTTAAACACATTCCACAGCTGAGATTATGTTGAGTATCTCACGATTATTGACCGAAATCATAATCTTACGAATCACTCATTATTAATCAAAGCTACCCCGCGATCTCGGTGCCAACGGCCAAGGGCGCCGTTGACGATTATGACGTTGAATCACCATCATCTCATGATAAAAGCCGCGCCTCCGTCATTTCACAACCTACACTCATTCAACACGTCTCCAACTCAAAACCCACACTCAGACATACACAACCTCTCCAACATGGCAGACCCCAACAACATCGGCCCCAAACCAACAACCCTAACAGGCGGCTGCCTCTGCGCCAAACTCCGCTACACCGTCACCCTCCCCGCGACCCACGACTTCGTCAAAAGCGCCCAGACCTGCCAGTGCACGCAGTGCCGCCGCCAGTCCGGCGCCCTCTTCGCCGCCTTCCACGACGTCCCGCCGCTGCAGTGGACCGAGGGCACGGCCACGCTCGCCGAGTTCGGCGCGTCCGAGTCGGCGAGGCGCGGGTTCTGCACGGCGTGCGGCTCGTGGCTGTATTGGAAATCAGACAAGCAGGATGGCGTGAGTATTTGTCTCGGGACGCTCGATCCGGAGTTCTTGGTCGGGGAGGAGGGGTACGGGAGGGCGTTGGCGAGCGGGATGGGCGGGCATCACTGGTGCGGGAATGAGATCCCGGGGGTGACGAGTGATGTTCCGATGTTGAGGAGGGGGCGGAGGAATCAAGGGAATCCTCCATCGTCTTGACGTTACTCGAGGATCTGTTTGGGATGAAGTATCTGGTAGTGAGGCTGGCTTAACAGATAAATGTGTCTCGTGGTTGAGTCTACATGCTCTAGGGTATCATGCGCCAATATCAAACATCCGGCCGTTAATCTTTGAAATTCAAGGCCTCACCATCCCCGCGACCACTTGAAACTCAACCCCTTCTTCTTACCATTCTCCTGCTCCTCTCGTGAGTACTCCTCAGGCCTGACATCCTCACCGCGTTCATTCGCCAAGTTCCACCTCCTATACGCGCCCGCGACAAGCTCCCCGACCTCGTCCCTCGTATCACCAATGACACCCAGCATGAGGAGCGCGTCCGTCTCCTCGATCCAGTCCTGCAGCCGCCGGAACTCGACCTCGTTCCGGCGCATCTTCTCGGGTATCCCGCGGCTCTTCATGAACGTCAGCACGCCGGCGATGACGGTGTTCGCGGCGCCCAGGACCGTGATGCCCAGGCGGTGGGTGCCGGCGGAGGGGCCCATGGCCGTGACGACGGCGCCGGTGACGAGCTGGGCGGCGTGGCAGGTGTAGAGCAGGGTGGACACGATGATGCGGAAGATCCGGGCGCGGCGGTGGGCGGCGATGGTGGAGGCGTAGATGCCGGCGGCGGCGGTGCGGCCGGCTTCGAGGTTGCACTCGTCTCGAGGGTGTAGGTCGGCGTTTATGCCGACGGCGCGGCGGAAGAGGAGGAGGTTGGAGGGGTTGGGCGGATCGTCGCGGGGTAGGAGAGGGGAGGTTTCTCCGCTGGGACGGGGTGATGCGGCTGTCGACATGGTGAAATCCGTAGACAGGTCGGCTTTGAAATTAGAAGGACATTGTTATAGATCATTGTTAAAGAATCTGGCCAGCGGGTGAGTATCTTTATCACGTATCTCAGGACCACTTGGCCGAGCCATTTCCGGAGGCCTTATCTGATTACAGGGTATCATCTGAAGAGTCAAGCAAGACTCCTGTGCATCTGTGAAGAGATAAGAACGATCACGTTGGTGATGTTTATGGGTGATTTTTGAGTGAAACCATTTCGCGCGCCAACACTGGAACTGCAGCGGGCCGCTAGAGGGTGTGCCGGTGAAGACTGCTATTGGTAGATGGTGAGTTGAGATGAGACCAGCGTCACCTGTCAACGGTCATCTGCGGCGGCAGACCCTGGAATGAGATGAATATTGTGCGTATGTTTCGCGGGTTGACATGGAGCATCAGATAAGGTGCGCGCTGGTTGCGCGGCGTAGTGCAGAACGAAATATGGGTGAGTCGGCAGAGGCTTCGGTGTGACTATGAGAACCAAGGTGAGTCTCGGTGAGGGAGATCTGAGATCTTCTCGCCGTAAACGTCGCTGCAACGTTGCAGTTTATCAGGGAGCGTGGCATGCTCACCAGCCACTTGGCAGCTCGTTGTGGAAGTCCCTCAATGGCTTCGATTATTCTCGAAGAAGCAACAGGATATTAATCCCACGTGAATATCCTGGAATGGCGCATTGGCAGGGTAGCAGTTCGGGCCTCAACTGCCGAGCTGAAGTCTTGGCTCATTTCATGCCGCATCGCCGCATCTCGACTTGGGTGTCGATCCCAGCTAAGCTTCCGATGCCCAAATGGTGCAGAGGCGATGAAAACACGAAACTTGCAGATACGTTTGCGCGTCGACGGTTTGTGTTATGACGTCAGGTGAACGAACGGGCCGCGAGAACGGCTTGTCCATGCACTCCTGTCAGAATGGTCGCATTTGTCTCCCTGCCTGCGCCGAGCGCTAGCGTCCGGGAATAGGCAGTCCCGTCATTTGGGTGATCCTTCGCGCTGGTGTTGATTGGGTCCTCATCTCAGAGTGCGAGCCGAACAATGGGAGTGAGCGAGTGAGAAGCGAGGTGGGTAAGAGTGAGATCTAAGTGAGTGAAATATCCGTAGGCAGTGGACACTCGAGATGAGATGTCAGCCGGCCCCCCGTCTGAAAGTACCGGAGCCAGGAGAAACAGAAAAGGAAGAGTAAACGGTCAGATGAAATCGGATAAAGAAAGAAGAGGGGAAGAGGCTGGTCTGCGGCTGTGTCTTGAAGTGAAACTGGATGGTCGTCGGAAAATAATTGCTGGGGCCAAGAGTTCATGGCCGTTAGCTCCAGATTAAACCGTCGGCGGGCTTATTTTAGGCGGTAGAAATGCGAGAAGTTGGCGCATGATTCAGGGGAATGCTGGCTGCCGAAGCCTGCGGGCAGCGGGATGACGCCAAAAACAGAATCCCAGGATCTCCCCAAATTCTGACATTGCTCCCCAGCCACCTTTCGATGTTATTTTCTGAGAGGGATATCTGATGAGGTCCATATGTTGAAGCCCAGCCACACAAGCTGATGATCGAATGGATGGAAAAAAGATAGTAAGCAGAAGAAATGAAGGAGAGGTCGTTGAAACAAATGGCAGGTGCCTACGGTATTGCCGACTGGTCTTTCCTTGCATGAGATCATCGAGTTTTTGCGGGGAGTTGCACTCGCGGGAAAAAGAGGCAAGTGCAGCCCCTGCTGGTTTGCCAGGTGCTCTTGCTGCTTGCTGCTTGTAAATGCAACTGCAAATGCAGCTGCACCTGTCGGCGGAAAATTCTTTATTCTTTCCTATACGGCAGTCGCAAAAAGATGTGGATGATAATTAGAAGGAAAGAATGGTACTTTGGTCACTCCTGCAAATTTGGTAGACAGCAGGCAGCAGAATTAAGCACCTCGACCAGAACGGAAATGGCACCATGTCTCCATCCTTTCCACCTGGTAGTCTCGCTTCTTACTTACTATCATGCCCAAACACCATCTCCTACTCATCCTCCATCATCCTCATCCCGTCTTCGCCTCATCCTCCATCATCCTCATCCCGTCTTCGCCTCAACCTGCCCAAGTCCGAGTCCCGGCGCAGTCCCGTCATCCCGTCCAGGCCTCGTCGTCCCATCTCTGTCTAACCCCTTGTATCCCCTAGTCTATTAAAGATGAGGCCGCGCAGTAGGGGCTTAAGATATAGTAAAAGTAGTATATTATTACTAAGTTCCTAGTGCTAATATTACCCCTATTAGAGATACCTAAATAGGTAGGGTAGCCTCTACCTATTAGACCTCCTATATTAGGAGTTTAGGCTTCTACCCCCCTTATAATTAAGTATAAATAGGCTAGCCCTTTAGCTATTTCTTCCCTTAAGTTACCTATTTTAAAATTAAATAAATTAATAAATTAATAATATAATAATACTATTATATTATAAAAGTAAATTAAATTAGATATAATATTATTATTTATTTCTTAAGTACCTCTATATCCTATTTATAAAGTTAGCTCTCCTCTATTAATATATATATAATATAAAATCTATTAAAATATCTCTATCTTAATATATTTAATTTCTAATATAGAAATTAAAGAATTATTAAGCTTAATTAGCTTTTAAAATTAGTTAAGTTACTTTATTAATCTCTTTTTATAATTATTTCTATATATTAAGTAATATAGAGGTAAATATTAAAGATCCTCTATTAATTTTAAGTATATTAAGTATTAATATTTAACTTATAGTATTAAAGTTAAAGGCTAAAAATAGTAAGTTAGATTTAAGTATATCTATTATAGATATTTAAGCTATAGGATTAATATTAAAAAATAAATTAAATATTAAAGTTTAACTTAAATAGCTAAAGTTAGAAATTAATAATTTTAATATAATTAGAGGCTAAAAGCTTAAAGTTATTTAATATTATAATAGATTTCTAAAAATCCTAATTACTTTATTATTAATATTACTATTAGATATAATCTTTTATTTAGAGATAAATCTATTACTTTTAAATAACTTAAATTATTCTATATTATTTAATTTTAAGCTCTTTTTATTTTAAAAAGGTATAATTACTTTATTATTAGCTATTTTAAGAATAATTATTATAAATATATTAGTAACTTAAGATATATTTAATTAGTTAAAGTTATAACTTTTAATAATTAAAACTAAAAGTAAAATTATAAATTAAACTAAAGGTTAAATTAAAGCTATAGCTTAAAACTATATTAGAGGTTAACTTATAGTTTTAAATTAATTTAATAACTAACTTAAGGTTAATAAGGCTAAAAGCTAAATTAAAATAGTTAAAATTAAAACTAGAGGTTAAGGTATAGCTAGAAGTTAATCTAAAGTTATAGTTAAATGTTAATTTAAAGTTATAACCTAAAGTTAATTTAAAGCTAAAGCTAGAGGCTAAGTTAATATTATAACTAGAAGTTAAATTAAGAGAGTTATAGCTAGAGGCTAATTTTAAGTTAAAACTAGAAGTTAAATATTAAAAGTTATAGCTAGAGGCTAATTTAAAGTTATAACTTAAGGTTAAACTATAGAAGTTATAGCTAGAGAAGTTATAGCTAGAAGCTAATTTAAAGTTAAAGCTAAAGGTTAAGTTAAAGTTATAACTAGAGGTTAGAATATAACTAGAGGTTAAGTTAAAGTTAAAACTAAAGATTAAGTTAAAGTTATAGCTAGAGGTTAAACTATAGAAGTTATAGCTAGAGGTTAAGCTAAAGTTATAACTAGAGGTTAAATTATAGTTAAAACTAGAGGTTAAAATATAACTAGAGGTTAAATTAAAGTTAAAACTAAAGGTTAAGCTAAAGTTATAACTAAAAGTTAAACTATAAAAGTTATAGCTAGAAGCTAATTTAAAGTTAAAGCTAAAAGTTAAGTTATAATTAAAATTAAAAATTAAAATATAACTAAAAGTTAAATTAAAGTTAAAACTAAAAGTTAAATTAAAATTATAACTAGAAGTTAAGTTAAGAGTTCTCTAGTTAATATTAATATATTTATTACTTTCTTCTTTTTTTTCTTTAACTTTTTTCTTTCTCTTTCTTAATAGCTATATTAAGAGATAGAATTATTTTTTCCTCCTTATTAAAGCTAAGTTTCTCTGATTAGGGACTTTAATAATTAATATCTTTATACCTCTTTATATATAAATTATTAAAATAGATAGTAATAACTAATCTATTTAATATAGAGTAAATATTTATAATAGTTTTGAAAATAGCTTTAATTTTTAAGATAAATTATATTATCTCTTAATATTATATAAAATATAATTTTATTTCTTCTATAGATATTATAGTAGCTTAAGCTATATATTAATATAAAGTAAATACCTAAAAGAGTAATTTAGAAATTTAATATCTTTAACTAAAGAGAGTAATAATTATATAATATATTTTATAGTTTATAAGCTTATAATTTAAAGTATTAATCTCTATATCTATTAAGTAGCTTTTAATAGTATTTTTTGTTACTTTATTTAAGATATAACTATATTAATTAGCTTTATAGATAGCTTTTATTATTTTTTTTAATTTAATCTTTAAGTTTCTATATTATTTAAGTTATAATTATAAATAATTTAGTTAGCTCTTTTTATTTCTTATTAGATCTTAAAGAGAACGTTTTATTATTTAAATTAGATTTTACTTTACTACTAGAGGAGCTTAAGCTCTCTAAGCTATTATATTTAGCTTTTATATTTACTTTAGGGAGAATATTAATTATACTTTTTAATATTTTTATTTATTTAGCTAATAGAGAGGAGGAACTTAATTTATACTTTTAAAGGCTAAAAGATATTAAAGACTTATTATACTTTTTAGGATTTAAAGCTAAAAGGAGATCTTTTCTCTTTAATTTAAGTATTCTATTAGTTTTATTACTTATTATTTTTTCTTTTTATTAAGGGAGTATAATATTAAAGAGGTTTTAATATAGTTAGCTTTATTTTTAAGATAAAAG